TGATCTCATCTCCTAAGCAACTGGAGTTAGAGAACTTCTTTAGGACTTGTAGGCTACTGTCTATGATGAAGGATGCAGCTACAGTAGCATTTGCTTCTCGGAATGGTCAGTTAGGAGTCTACCAGCGGACTGATAATTCATTGCCCAAATTAGCACACTTCAAGTAAAAGGGGTCACTAGGGACAGTTCTATCAGGATGATACAAGGTAGCTTGAGGTGTGTGAGCACTCTAGATAAGGGAGTCAAGTCACAAGGACAGGAGCCAAATTAGGGCGGGAAACAGCCACTGGGTCACTAGCTAACCAGTGTGGACTCAGAGCTTGGATTGCTTTGTAGGCTGGACCAACCCTGAAGTTATTTGGGGAAACCTGGGGGAATAACAGCGTTTGTGTGTCTACATATCTGGGGGTTAGGATAAACTAATTCCCAACACTGACTATTGAGGAAAACATCTCCAATGTAGTTAAGATATATTCTGGTACAAAATAGCGCCAAGCCTGCAAATATTGGACTTCAGCGGCTACTGTCTGGAAGACCTAGGACAGGTTGACTGACATGTAAATGTCAGGACCATAGTTTTCTGGAACCACGCAGACTCAAGCTTCCCTCTGCAGGACATCTCTTCAGATGTCTGGAAAACACCTTCCACCACCTTTGATCTTGCACAAGCTAAGCAGCTTCTTAGAAAGTATCATGTTCCAAGTGAAGTGCGCAGGTGTTTCAGACAAGGGCCCAACAAACAGGAGGGTAAAGCTGGGTAACACATTTCCTACTTTGCTTTACCCTTAGTAAATAGTTTCCCAGGAACATCTTCATTGAATTGAATTTGGCTACTGCATTGGCCTTTCATTTTACACATGCAAATTCTTACAATTTGACCCCTAAACAATTGATTCCATTCATCCCATTGAACTTGGAAGCACTATAGAATGGGAAGGTCTGTGTGGATTCCCTGGTGCTATGTGGCCTCCAACTAATCCCCTCACCCTTGGATTCCTCCCCGTGGATGAGGTGGTGAGGACAAGATGATTAGAAGCCCTTCGAAGTACTAAGTAAACTATGAAGTAAAATCTGAATCTAAATAGGTGGGATTTTTTTTTTGCATTCACTCATTCTACAGATTTTTATTCAGCCCCTCAGTCAGCTACTACACTGGACACCGAGGACAGAGTTCTCGTCTACAGTTAGTGCCTCAAGATGGTAAAATGAGTTGCCTCATGTTTCTCGTGTATTGACCCAAATTCATATTGTCTAAGATGTGACAATAATTCTTCCTGTGTGTTTTCTGGATTTCTGTCGTAGTATTCCATATGTATAATATAAAAGTGAGCATGCTTATAGCCTTGCGGGGACCTTTTTGCAAGTGTTTACAGGCAGTTATTTCCTGCTGGATGTAGTTTTCACACAAGTCCACATAGATGTACTTCTGTCTAATACAGCTCTATGTAAGCTTCCTGACGCTTCTTCCTCCTGGGGTATAGAAGCAGCTGCTGCCTCCAAATCAGCGTGCTCTTAGCCTAACAGCCTCAGAAACGCATTCCTTTGATGGGGTCCTAGACTCTACTCCCAGAACAGCCAAGGTGGCGAGTCAGCCAGTGCACACCAACTAGACCAGGAGAAACAGAGAAGAACCGCCAACTACACCAGGGCTTGTGTCCTATAGTGGAAACCTGGGAAAGCTGGTTACACACTGCATTCATTGCTCTCTGCCCCCTGGCTGTGGACCACAGTAGCCTCAAACTGTGAACCCAAACAAAGCCTTCCTTAATTAGATTGCCTTTGTCAGAGTGCTTTATGACATCAGTAAAGGAATAAATAATACATCAACTTTGCAATGAGGAAACCTGACCATATTGTTCTTAGCCCTTTGGAACTGGTTTGAGGGACGAATGTAGAGGTTTGGGCCAGGAAAGCTCTTTAATGCTGCAAGCAGAGCTTAAATGAGCTATTCTGATAGCAACCTAAAAGACAAGAATGACCAGAGACACATGGTCAGTGTGGGCCCAGCCAGGGAACAGGAACTCCATGAACTGGCTTGGGCAGTTCCTGTGATATTTTGGCTAAGAATCTGGATTCATTCTGCCTGTGTCCTGAGAACTTGAGTGAAGTTGAATTTACAGCTGATGGACGAATTGGTTTGGCAGGGAAAACTTCAAGACAGGAGGGCATTTCAGCTGGCGCTGAGAAAACAGCTGTAATTGTTACAGAGATGAGCGGCACTGAGCTTGGGTTTCACTGGGACTTTGGGCAAGGTGTCCTAAGGGTAAAACCTCACCCATCAGAGGCTGAACCTTGTAAAAATCCAAATTCATTTGCAGGAAGAAAGCCTAAACTGCAGAGTTTCCCTGTTCCTCCAAAGCAACTGAATAGAGAAGTGTTTTCCCAAGGTCATCAGAACTTCACAGTATCACCTATGTGGCACTGTTTTTACAAGCATGAGAGAGAGTCATAAAGTCCTGATCAGTAGTTCTAGGCAGAGGATAAGGCAAGACAGTGTGGCAGGGTTGGAGTCCCTGCAAGGAGGTCCTGAAGTGGGCATTAAAGGTGGAGTCTAAGTTACAAGGGAGATGTCAGAATGTTGGGTATTTCAGGACCATGGGATGTGTACCAAGGCAGGCTACAGGTACAGAATGGAGCTTGTATGAGAGATTCTGCATATGCTATAGACTGGAATAGCACTGGAGCAGTAGGGGACATAAACCCGGGGAAGCCCAGATGATCCAATCATGAGCTCCAGGTGCTAAGGATGGAGCTGCAGTAGTTGGTGTTTTTCCTACTGGATTTGGGTCTTGCTTTGATCTGATCATTCCTTTCTATGCCCCTATTCTTCCCTTTTGGAATATGAATGCTTATTCTGTGCCACTGCATGTTAGAAGCCTTTGCCTTGAATCTCAAATGAGTCGAGAACCTTGGACATTTGCACTGGTAGAATTGTTGGTGACTATAGGGACTTCTGAAGTTGGATTCTATTTTGTGTTATGAGACGAACATGAGAGTTTAGGGACAAAAGTGGAAGATATTGATTGAAGGTGATGCAATTGGGTGTCGTATTGACAAGGACTGGAGCTGCAATTGTTAATCTTTATTGTGAGCTTGATGAGATCATCTAGAAGATGATGGATCTCTGAACATAACTGTGTGCTATTTTCTTAATTAGGATAGTCAGAAGTAGATAAGACCATCTATTGTGAGTGGCACCATTTGCTGGGGATGGGTCCTAGACTGCATAAATAGGAGAAAGAAAGTTGAGTACCAGCATGCATTGCTCTCTGCCTCTTGACTGTGCGTGCAACATGACCAGCTGCTTCATGCTTCTATTCCCGTGATTTCCCTACCACAGTGGACTATAACCACCATCTATAAACCAAAATAAGACTCTTCTTCCTTAAGTTGTAGTTTAAGATTTTTTTAAATCACAGAAACAGGGAAAGTAAGTTAGTGTTTGTTTTTATTTGAGCCAAGATCTTGCTGCATAGCTAAGTCTAAGTACTGGAATGGCAGGTATGTGCTATCATACTTAGCTTTAATTTCAAGTTTATCCCACAGAAGGACAAAATTGGAGTCTATTGTACAGAGTCATTTGTTGTAGAACATTCTTTGAACCCAGCTTTAAAAAATTGCTATTCATCAGCATATGGACACACTTCACCTTACAGAATATTTCTTTATAGTGAGGGTATTTGTAGGTTTCAGTGAAAGGTTAAATGGTGTATAGTCTTCACACGTCTTACAGCTATTTACTGAGAGCCAGTACTTTTCTAGAGAATGTGTCGGTGGATGGCACGGAAAACTGCTAGGTTCAGAAATGATGCCAGTGTGAAGCAATGCTATTCCTCTATGTATCGATCAACTTCGAAAGTGCCAGCCAAAGCTGGAAAAACTCCGGAAAAAAATGAATACATGTCCGGAGGCACTGGAGAAGACTTCTGATTAATACTGCTTAATTCATACTGGATCCAAAAGCCTGTGAAGGAGGAAAAATTGAACTGATCACGATGGTGATGGTACAAGCATTTACACGTCGTATGAATGGACTGTAAAACGTGGAGTCTCAGAAGGGCAGCAGGGGTGAGGTCATAAAAATATGAGAGAAAACTATGCAAAGTGATAGAAGTCTGCTGGCTGGAGAGGCAGTTATAATAGTGCACAAGGTTTCTGAATGCTTCTAGGCGGGCCAGGGCAGGAAAGACAGAACTTGCTTGCCTGTGGGAAAGCCCTCTGAGCTGCGCTGACTGGAGAGACAATACAGGAAAACAATGGAGGTGGAAGGAGCCAGCACAAAGAGTAGAGAATGCTGGCAGAGACCCAAGGATACCAATAAATAAGTAGAAAGAAGACTGGGGTGCTTCCAGCGTCATCCCCGCAGGACCATTAGAAGGAATATCTGGGAAAGGAATGCCCAGGAAGAAAGTGCTGAATGTTTTCTTCAATGGGAGGAAAGGAGGCAAGGGTTAGCAACATCTGGGGAACTACAGGTAGTCTGAGAAACACCCATTACAGATGTGAGGATAAATATTAGATGCCATAGGATGATGGATAGATGAATTTCAGCTGACAGCATCCATCTCTATCATTTACATGACCATAACATGTAATTACATTGCACTTAAAATCTTTGATGATACTTTAACACTGTGCTGGCAAGATGGCTGCTCAGCAGGCAAAAGTCCCTTGATACACAGGCTGGATGGCATGAGTTTAATAATGGGGATCCATGGTGGGAGGAGAGAACAAACTCCTTCAAGTCTTCCTCTCATCTCCACACATGCACCGTGTCTACCCACTCATGCAAACCACACATTAATAATAAAAAATTAAAAGTGTAAAAGGACCAACTGAGTGGTTTGAAAAATAGTCATTGGAGAGGAAATTTAATGTCATTTCATTACTGAAAATGGATACAGAAAATATTAAAATATCCTTTACAAGTCAATTATTTGCTCTAAATATTTCATGTAGAGATGCTAATTGCCAAGGAAAACCTTGCAAGCAATTCTTACCTGGTGCTGGCTGGGAAAGTTTCTGAATTACTCTTCTATACATAGACTCATCTTTAATGAACAGCTGTGCTGCTTCCAAATTCACTGGGTTTTCTAGGATAGGGTTGGAAAGCATGACCTAAAAGAAAGCACATACAGCAAACAAGTTTAAAATAAAATTTTCTTGGAATAGCAAGGCAAGCCAATGCATGTAAACTCAACAAGCATTTAACGAGTGCCTCGTATGTCTATACATCCTAGGAAATAGGCATAGAGATGATGAGATACAGATCATCCCCGGGAAACTCACTCTATCTTGCTTTTATTTTGTGTATTCATTAAACACTGGGATCAAAGCAAAAGCTTTTTCCCCCTCTATAACATCCATTCCTTTCATATAAATTTAAATTGGATTTTTATGTAAAGTAGGCTAGGCATCAGAGAACAATGAAAAAACTTCCATTACATACTAATAGGAGACCACATTAGAGCATGGATAAACACACAGGTATGGAAGCTTACACACAAGTGTCGATATCCCTTTCAGGCACTAAATGATTGATTTATGTCTGTAGTAGCATTCTGTGATTGTTGTGACTATCACAAATTAGCATCTTAAAAGAAAAAAATCTTGTAATCTCTGTATTTTTAGGTGGAAAACCCAGGATGTATGACTAGTTTCCAGACTGAACAAGGTCAGAGGCCACGAGGCAGCAGGCTGGGCTCTTGGCAGAAGAATCTGATATGTTCTCACAAGCATGAGGTTGGATGAATTGAGTTCCTTGCAGCTGTAGCATTGAGGATCTCATTATTGCTCAGACTGTTAGCTGTGTGCCAGCCTTTGCTCCTATAGACATCTCTTCAGTCCTTGTCTTTGACATTTAGCATCTCAGAGCCAGCCATGGTGTGAGAAAACCTCCCAGAGCTTGGAATCTGACCTTTCCTTTGGTCACATTCCTTCTTCAACTGTCTTCATTCTCCTACCTTCCAATGCTAAGAGACAATCAACACTTCACATAGTATAGACTAACTTTCTTGTCTTAAGGTGAGCTGACTGATAACCAAAATTCTGTAGGTAGTCCATTCACAGTAGTATGTAGGTTAGTGTGATGGGGGAAGTCCTATGTATATGTCAATAAAGCACTGTTGGCCAATAGGGAACCAAGATAGGTGGGACTAGTTGTCCAGGAGGACTCTGGGTAGGAGAAACACGGAGAGTCAAGATGTAATGCCATGGGGTAGGAAGCCCGGAACTATTCTCCGGTAAGAGAAATACTTAGATTAACAATTATGGGATAAATACTTAAGTCAGAGCTAGCCAGTAAGAAACAAGCAAGACCAACAGCTTCATAATTAATATAGCCTCCTGTGTGTTTATTTGGGACTGATGCGGCTCTGGAGCCAGGCTGGCAGGAAGGCTTCTCTCAAGGAAAAGGCTTCCCTTACATTAGTGTTTTGGGGGAACCCCTTTAAAATTCTGCATACCACAGAATCCATGCACTTGGGTCAAACAGATGACCAGTGGTGACCAAAATTGTGGTGCTAGACCATGATTTGCTTCTTGGTCACCTAAAAAATTGCTTTACTCTAAGCTGAAAATGTTTGTTATAATAATTCAATATTTTGAACCTTGCATGTTATAATACACAGGCTGATAGAACACAGTGAACAGGATTATTGCAGGCACTACTTGTGCCTGTTTGTTTTTTGTTTGTCAACTTTACAAAAACTGGGGCCATCTGGGAAAAGGGCACCTTTATTGAGGAATAGCCTCCATCAACTTGGCCTGTCGGCAAGCCTATGGTCCATTTTCTTGATTAATGATTGATGTAGAAGGACCCAGCCCACTGTAGGTAGTGCCCCTCCAGGCAGGTAGTTCTGAGATGTATCAAGCTGAGCATGCCACGAGGAATGACCACTCCTTTGTGATCTCTGTGTCAGTTCTTGACTCCAGGTTTCTGCCTCGAGTTCCTGTCATGGCTTCCCCAGTGATGGATGGTGATCAGAAAGTGTAAGTTAATAAACCCTTCCATCTCCATGTTAATTTTGTTTAATGTTTTATCACAGCAACAGAGAAACAAACTAGGATACTGCTATCATACTTCAGTGTGGATACAGGGAAAAAGGAAGAATTGCAGCTGAAAAGTTAATAAAAAAACCAGGTAGGCAAGATAGCTCAGTGGGTAATGGTATTTACCATCAAGCCTGACTATCATGTTTGATCCCTGGAACACACATGGTGGAAGGGGAACTGAGTCCCATAAGCTGTCCTCTGACATCCACATGCACTTCATGGCCTGTCACCCCCAAATAAAGAGACAAAGGTAAACATAAATAACATGAAAAAGTCATGTATGGTGGCACACATCTGGGCAGATGGAAGCAGGAGAGGTGAATTTGAGGTCAGCCAGGACTTCATAGTGAGCCCCTTCCTTAAAGCAAGCAAGCAAAGAAAGAAAAAAGGAGGCAAGGGAGATGGTTCATGGGTGATGGGGCTTGCTGCCAAGCTTCACTACGTGAGTCTGGTCCCCAGGGCCCACACAGTGAAAGGAGAGAAACTTCTCCAGAAAGTTGTCCTTTGACTCCCATGTGCATGTTGTAGCGCGCACGCGCACACACACACACACACACACACACACACACACACACACACACACACAGTAAGTGATAAATGCATACAGAAAACCATAAGCAAAACCAAAACAAAAAAGTGCAAGTTATAGCAGACTTTCTCAAATGAACGCAATCATTTTGACATCTGATATTTCAAAAGTAACAGGCATTCTCTCCTATTACTAGAGTTTTCTCTTCGAGAAACACATTCAGGTTGCATTTCCAGGATCATGAAAATTGCCTACGTAAGGATTCAGTGCATATCCCACCTGATCTTTCAAAGTGGGTGGGAAGCCGAGGAGACTAATTTTCAAGAGCAAGCTTTTGGTCTGTGACTGGAGAGAATCTTATTCAGCAAGGCGCATCTGGCAAATCTAACTGCTTATTTTCTCATTAACTGTGTGTCTGAGACTTACGCACATAGCATATACTCAGCTTTTGCATGCACTTAATGATTTTTCTAAAAATTGGCCTGTTAGTGTATGTTATTAGTATATTAGCATATGTGTAAGTCAGACACACTGCTAAAGGAGCCAAGTATAACAAAGACCCAGTCTTTAACTTAGCCACATGGTGATGGAATTTCAATAACAAAAATCTCCAGAGATAAACGGACCATTCTGGATCTTCAGTAAGTGACTACAACAATAGAGAGATAGATTTTATAATATCCATTTGGTTGCAGTCCATGGTTTTGAAATTTGATTTATCGATGAGTATTGATTTTTACCTTTTTATTTTATGTGAATTAGAAAATCTGATTATTTAAGATTGCAATCTTTCTGGTGTGATGACTAGTATTTTTAAAATACTTTAAAGGATATTTAAAGTGCCATCTCTGAGAAAAGCAACAATATGGTAATTAATATGCTTTTTCATTCAAAAGGAAGTAAACAATAATTATGATCTGTATTTGTGGTGTCCATTACTAGTAACCATTGGTCACAGGCAGTGATTTAAATGAAATTACTGAAGAGTAAGGGAAAACTTCAATGAGGCTATCAACTATACTCAATAGAAAAAGAGTTCAGGAAATAGTATGCACATTGAATTGCCACAGTACTTGGGTAGAAACCTAAACACTGGCAAGGCAAGCATCCTCCAAACCAAAGCCATAAATCCTGCCCTAGTAAAAGGAATTAGGAAAGACATATGAGAGAGAGAATCACTTGGCCTCACTATGATGTGAAGAGCCCTTGATGGACAGTCTGGATAGCAGGAGAAAGATGGGTGGCCATCTGATGGAGAGGTGACCGAGCATTACTCGAGGTTCAAGCCTTGTTTGGGTTTGTACTGTTAGAGTTTGCAACTCTGTAAATTCTTTTTGATCAGAATTGCATCAAGTAATGTGAGGGCAGAAAAGCATGGGGACACAAAAGTGTGTCTGAGCCCGACTGCAAAAAGCAGGTCCTCTGTTATGGGACAGAATTTGTACTTAGCCCTGAAGAGAATGTGAGAGCCAACGGGTGATTCTAACATTGAGTCATCTCTCCTGCTCCAGGTCTCAGATTTCTCTATCAGAACACAAGCTCACACTGGTAGGTGGATGTTCAATATATGTTTATAGAATGAATGAATGAAATGAATGGTTTTAAAAGTGACATTTTAATCTGCCAAGATGATTCGCCATAATATTAACTTTTATTTTCAGGAATAAGAAATCAAAATTATAGTACAATCCTGGTGAAAAATTGAATTGTGTTAAAATTATTCTCCAGGTAGTCCAAATGCTCAAAATTTAATAATTTGTCACCGATATTCTTGATGACAAATAGATTCCTTGGGAGAATATTGCAGTCAAAGCAATGCTACTGAAATAATTGATGTTAGCATTTGATGAAAAAGGAGGACATGTGATGGAGGTGTATGTGTCTGAGGACGTGAGCTCAGCGGTGAATGTGGCATTTGGGAACCAGACATTGACCTGAGGAGAGAGTATCTTTGGTTTCATTATTCACCACATTTGATATGAACACTTATAAGAGAAAGAGAGCAGCTAGCATTGTCTGGAACACAGAAAAAAGCTGAATATTTTAAGGTGTAACCAGTGACTAACTCCTCTGAGGCAGACGAGGCCCAGGAACTAGGAAAAACTCCAAAGACACGTTCAGTGTTAGAAGCTGAAATAAAGCCCGGCTGTATGTCTGTAATTTAAAGCATCTCAGTGGTTTTTTTCTTCTTTCATAAAATGTGTATTCTTTGTCTGTGAAGGGCTTTAACCATCAATTTCAAAATAAGTCTTCAGCTGAAGATCCACTCTTCAGTTCAAGATGAAGACATTTTGATTGACACCAGCTTGCTAAGGTCCTCTAGGCATTTGAATACGTTGAGTACATGTTAACCCTTGTGTGATGAGTAGGTGGGAGCATTAAATGTGTTAAACCATTAAGTTAGGCATGGTGTACATGCCTGTAATTCCAGCGCTCAGGAGGTGGAGGCAGGATAATCAGGAGTTCAAGGTCAACCTGGGGCTACATAGTGAGGCCTGTCTTAAGTAGAATCTAACACACAGAAAGAGCATTACAGTAACTGTATTCTTACCTGTAGAGCAAGTAAGATGCTGCTTAGTGTATAATTTGTGTTCCAGTTGTCAAGGCTGTTCAAAAAGTCTATACTGGGCTGACCGGTATACAGGTCTACTGTATTAAAACAACGTATTAATTTTAGCATTCAAAACTTATAGAGCATCATATTGACACATCAAGAAAACTATTTCATCTACTCTTCTTCCTCTTTTCCTATTTCATATAATGATAGTCACTGCGTGGGTCTCCAGTGTCCATCAGCTTTAGCTGATTATAGGCTCCTGGTGCAGCAATTCGATAATATGAATTTCAAATATAGTATGTTCTTGAGGCTTGTGTGTGAGTGTGTATGTGTGTGATTCACATGTGCATGTGTGTATGGGTGTGCATGCCTGTGAATGCCAAGAAGCCAGAGGAGGAGGCCAGGTACCCTGCTCTGTCTGTCTCCATCTTACTTCTTTGAGAAAGGGTTTCTCATTGAAGCTGGTGGTCATTAAGTCCTAGCAATCCTCTTGCTCGGAGCTCCCCCTCTCTCCACACATTGCTGGTGTTAGAGGGGTGGGTGGCTGTGACTGGAGTTTTACATGAGTACATAAGATTTGAAGTCAGGTTCTTATGCTTGCACAAGCCATCTGCCCAGCTGCAAAACTAATTTTAATTACAAAAATAATAGGGAAAAAGTATATAAGAAAATATAAAGTAAAATATGAATGTTCCCTGCCTAACAATTCTGCTATTAAGTCACATTGATCTACAAACTTCCTTCTGTATACCTGTAAGTGCTCAACTGTTTATCACACGAAAGGACACTTTTACATTGTGTTTTTTTTCATTTAAAATAAATGTGCAACATATCTCTAGTTGTATTTATTTATTAAAATTGACTTACATTCATCTGTGTGTGTGCGTGTGTGTGTGTATGCATGCATGTGCATATACCCATGTACTCCAATGTATGTCCAGAGGTCAGAGGACAACTTGTGGGAGTTGGGGATTGTCAGGCTGCTCAGCTGGTGCCCTTCCCTGATGGATCACTTTGCTGGTTCAGATATGTTTATTAAAAAGACATGACTATTCTAAGGACACCACAGTGACAAAGAAAATAAATCCAGTTTTCATAGGCCTTCCTTTTTCTACATAGGGGAAAGATGTAGTATATAGAAAATTTCACTTAAAAACTTCCTATGTAAAAAAATTTCTTTGTCAACAGCCATTGTTTGTATATATAGGTTGGGAATCCGTGGGTTCAACAGAGGTTCAGAAGTATTCAGAAAAGATAAAATTTATATTGAATTTGTACAAACATTTTTCCTGTCAATATTTCTGAGACAATGTAGTAGACCAACCATGCATATTGTTAAGTAACCCAGCAATGATTTGAAGTACATGGGAGAAGACGCAGCAAGGCTGCGGGCTAAGTGTACTGGAAATGGGCATCCTTCAATATAACATACTCTTGTGCTACTATATCTACAGGATAATCTATAAACCTGGAAAAATATATTATACCCAATTATAAATTTTCAAATCACTTCCCTAAAAGGTCATCATCATGTCAAGGAATAATGTCTGCCCAAGCCCACTAAAACTGAGTTTTAATGCTTTTAAAATTCTGTAAACAGAAGTGATGAGTCCCAATGTTTTGATATGCATCTATTTTCTTCACAATGAGATTGTGTTGTTGTGTTCTGTCTATCCAGTGTTTCTTCATGGATTTCACACTGTTTTCTGGTAGTTCACAAGGGTTCTTTATGTGGTGTATATATTCTATCCTGTACCACGAATGGTCCCTGAGTTTGCATAATGCAGTCTGTTATGCTTTAGTTTGTTTATAATGTGCACAGCTATAAAGGTTTTTAAAAGTTTGTATAGCTTAGATGTCATGATTTTCAGTAGTTTCAGGGAGAGGCTCCTATACAAACCGGCAAACAGTTGCATCACCTTGTCTTCTGTTTAGAATCCAATTAAACAGTTGCATCACCTTGTCTTCTGTTTTAGAATCCAATTAAACAGTTGCATCACCTTGTCTTCTGTTTTAGAATCCAATTAAAGGAAATGCGATGCTTCAGGCAACCACTTTACATAGAACTCAGCAGAGCAACCTGACATACTTTTCCCCCCAAAGATTAAGTTATCTCGTGTATTATTTTTATAAGATGAAAACTTAGATTTAACTTAAACAATAAATAGTGTACTATCCAGCCATTTAAGACGGTCTTTTACAGATTGCATGGAAATGCAAGACGGGACTGGGGAGATGGATTCTCTGTCAAGAGCACTGCTGAGCTTGGTTCGTAGCACTCACACTGGGTGGCTCATAAAGACCTGTAACACCTGCTCCCGGGGATCCAAAACCCTCTTCTGACCTGCACAGCACCGCACTCATGTGCACAGCCCTCACCCGTCACATACATACATAATTAAAACTAACAAGTTTCCAAGGCAGGAAAGCATACCATTTAAAGTAAAACTAGATTACAAACCATACATCACATCTCAATTTTGGAAAAATGTGTGCACAGAAAAATGAGGACTGATGAGGTAAACTATTGAAAATGGTTTCACCATTAGGATTCAAAGGGATTGCCATTTTTTCTGTCTTTTAAAGCTTCTCCAGTGAGCATTCTTACTTTAATTGTAGGTTGTTAAAGAGGAACATGGTTATTAAGCACCCCCCCCCGAAAGATTGTATAGACAAAGCCATAATAGCACAACAATAAGAGTCTCACTTAGTCCTTACCATTTGGATGAAAAGGAATTGTTAGAAATTTCACAGCTGGAGGAGCAAGGTTGTATTCTGGTGTAAAATCTATTGCCAGGTGGAAAACAAATCCTGTAATATAGAAATGAATGATGACATTAAAGTGTTATGGTTAGCTCTAGCCTGATTGAACACTGGAGGTCTTCTATGATTAAACCTATCCATTATTTTCTTGTTTTTTCCTTCAATATAATTTTCTTATTTTTTTAAGTGCGTGTGTGTGTGTGTGTGTGTGTGTGTGTCTGTGCACGCTTGCACGAATCCACATGAGCATGTACGTTAGAGGACAACATGCCAAAGACAGCCTTTGCCTTCTACTGCATGGGTTCTGGGATTTGAACTCATGTCTTTAGGCTCGGCAGCAAGTGCTCTTACCTGCTGAGCCATCTCACCAGCTGCTTCCCTGTGACTTTCTTAAATTCCTTCAGTGTGCACAGGCCATTCTTTGTTGTGAACCAGACCCTTTTCCACATGACTGCACTCAGTTGGAGTTTCTTTCTCCCACAGTTCTTGGCACTCAGGGTCTCTGTCCCCTGCACACTGCCTCCTCTCATATTGATGGAACTCCTCTTTCCCACAAACTGCAGCAACCCTTCTTGCCCGCAGCATGAATGTCCCTCTCCTTTAGAACTTGGCTACTCAAATGCTCCTTCCTTTGAAAGCCCTCTTGACTCCTGTGGGTGGGATTGCTAATCCCTCCCCCTTCTTTGGCATTCTTTCCAAAATCCATGGCAACATAAATTATATTTTACTGTCATTGTTGTTTTATGTTTGTCTCACTCACTTCACTTAAAGACTCTCCTTTAAATAAATAACTGAAATAACTCATAGTTAATAAAGTTTATAGTGGTCTGGGTTCCTTGAGGATTTGACTTCTGGAAATTTAGGGGGAAATTATGAAAGGAAAGCCAAGAAATAAGTGTGGAATGCTGAAGTTAACAGGGAATTTGATAGGTAGTCCCTGCTCTCATGTAGACTGTTGGCGAATATTCTGATAAATACACTTTATTGTGTTTGCTTCTTAAAAATACAGTAACGCGGAACTGGAGAGATGGCTCAGCAGTTAAGAGCAATGGCTGTTCTTCCGGAGGACCCAGGTTCAATTCTCAGCACCTCCATGGCAGCTTATAAATGCCTGTAACTGCAGTTCCAGGGGTTCTGATACCGTCACACAGACATACATGCAGGCAAGATGTGAATGCACATGAAATAAAAATAATAAATAAATAAAAATTTGAAAAGGGAACAAACACAGTAACATTAAGGTCCAGGAGTTGATCCCTAGCTCCCCCTTCCCTGCCATCTCTCAAGACAGATTGACTTTGGAAACACAAACCTTCCCAGATTGAATTCTCAAGTCCTTGGATCTGAGCTTCCCAGGTCATCAGATCTTCACTTACAGGAAAAGCAGTAACACCCTGTCATAAAAAAAAAAACAGTAAAACAAAAATAGATTAAAGTGACCTGCTTTGAAAATCAGAGTCTGGGTTTCATTTAATTTCAAAACCTTGATTTTTTTTCTTGATAGTTTTATTTGTTGATATGGGGAAGTGCTGCTTGTCTTAAGTTAAGGTAGTTGCTAGGGAACACATGAAATGATAGTAAATTAAAAACAAATTGCTAAGCATAGAAATCACTAGTGGGACCAGAAAACTGAGACAGTATATGTGGAGGGCATGATCATTTAAGATCCAATGGAAAAAGGGGGAAATATTTAGGAATTGGAAAGCACGTGTTTCCTGAAAGTTCTGGAAGATGATGAATGTCATGTGGAAGGCATGATGTAGGGACATTTTCACTAAAAAATTCTGAACTCAAGTTCGTTGTATTTATGAGTTGGAGTTTTTCTTGTGTTATGAAAGAGAATATAAAGTTAATTGCATTTCTAGTTCTAACTCTGCCATGATTTTTGTTTGCTTTTGGTAATGGATAAATGGATAAAAATATGTTCAGTCTTGAAAGTGTAAAATCCAATGTGAAGCTCCACAGTTTCTTTTTCCAAATGGCCATTATAAATATGTGGAGGTTCACTGAAATGTACGTATATGCTTTAAGTATGGTTAATTTAGATGTGATTTTTAAAAAATTTTCATTAAACTTTACAAAACTTTTTTAGGAAAAGAAAATAAAAATGCCCAGCTTACTGTTGTATATAAAAGCAAACTTTTCCTATATTTAAGTATTGTTTCTATGAAGAGACAAGAATGTGTTTCACAAAAATCATAACAGCTACGCTGAGTGTACCTGAATAAGTTCAGCAAATTATTTCTGAGCCAACATAGTGAATAAGTAAGTGCAGTGACTATCAAAGCAAGCACTATATTTGTCTTTCTTCATTATCTGCACTGATATAATCCACCACTAAATTCTATTATGCCAGAGAACAACAACGTTTAGACCAAACAGAAGTGCTATTCAATATGAGGTCCACACACCCGTAATGCATATATAGTTGATCCTAAGCATCTCCAGAGGGTTTTAAAAAAGTGTGTTTATAGTGGGCATGAAATGAACATGTATTATGACCTACCACCAACAGGGCTATTGTTAGTACAACTGCACACACTCTTCTAAGGATGGCTTTGTTTCTATGTTTTTAAAAAGCATTTCCCCTTTCTCCCTCTCATTTATTTTTCATTTTCCATAAATTAACCCAATGGCACAAATGAACATCAATAACTTCACTGGGGTCATTGGGCAAAGGGTATTTTTTTCTGCATTAAAATTAGAAGGCAAAGCCACTTATGCCTTGTGTTGGTAAAAGAAAGAAGTACTAGAGAGTATGCAATAGAACACAAAGCGTCAGAAAATGATGGAGTGTATCTTGGGACAAATCTATACGGAATCTGGGTGCTAGTTTGCTGGTAGGAAAACGAAACACTACTTGGCTACGATATTAATGAGTACGAATTGAATTTTCCAGTCACTCCTTGACACACTCTGATAATCCGGGGCTTCAGCTTAGAGACATTGCCCCTCACAATATACTTAAAATTGTTACCCATCATAACCTTGAAACAGTAGTTATCATTCTGGAATACTATAGTGGGAAAGTCGGTATAGTTCAATCATGGTTTATGGAATAAATACGTACTAGCCTGCTTCATCACCGGATGAAACAGAACCCTCCACACCCCTGTACTTACCTCATTTGTGTTGCGTTGTAACTGCTCGAGCTCTCTTCTCAGCAAGATGTAAGCTCTGGAGTGCATGGTGAAGCAGTGGAGGGACTGCCACCTGTCCCTGAACTACTCTGGGTGGAACTCTTTTGGCAGAGGTCTCGAGTTACCCTCTTGACCCCTGGTTAACGGTTACTAGTTCCCCAGTTAAATGACTGCTAAGTTTCGATTTTGTTGTGACTTCCCACCTCTCTGACGCCCCCAAGCAGAGACCTCCAGAACTGAGGTCCTTCTTATCCGAGGTATCTCACTGCCAGCCACCACCCACAAGACAAACTTGGGGGACCATTTTAGAGAAGCCCGTGCTGTGAGCACGCGAAGAGGGAGTGGAAAGGGCAAGCCCGAAGCAGTGCTGGCAAGTTCTCTTTCTACCTTACAGGTGAAAGCAGTGTCAGCTCAGCTGGACGAAGCAAACCAGTTGCTAAGCGACAGGCCTTTGGAGGAGGTGCCACCTTGAGGTTGCGGCTCCTCTTAGCCAATCGATGAACAGTCTCCGTGGGGAAGGCCAATGAAGTCAGCATTCAAGATGGCAATCCCCGCCCCTCAGTGCTCCGGGACTCCGCTGGTGTAGAGGGCTTTCCCTGCATCCTAGGACTGTAAACTGTAAACAGCCGCCTTTCGCAAAAACTTTCCAAAAGCCAATTTAAAACCCAAAACCATTCCTGCTTCCCACCTAGGCTTCTACCCCAATTTACTCACCTCTTTTCCAGGCTGGATAGCTGACAGCAATCCCAACCCTCTTCATGTCTTTCACTCATTTTCCTAACTTCGCTCAAGTTAACAACAGCCTTGTCACTTGCCTAGTAGACACAGAGCATCCTCTCATAGGACCTGCCAACCATAGATTTAAACTAACATGTGAGCATGCGATTCCTGCCTAAAGTACTTTAACGGGAACTTGCTACTTCCCCGGTTCATTTTGCCTCCATCTTCAGCATTTTAAACGGCGACTGTTTTCTCCTACGCTGCTGTTTCTCTCACCCCGATTCACACTTGAGGTGCCCTTGGTACTGAACTGCATGCCCTTTTCCCGTGTCTACCAACCATCCTCTTTGCCCGAGTTTCATTCCTGTTCTCTGATGATCAATGCTTACACATTGGAAACTCCTAAATTCCTCTTGCAAAGCCTTTTGGAGCCACCAGGATGAGTTGTCTCTAATTTAACCTGGGTTCATCTTTGCATATTACTACCATGTAACCATCACCCACCAGAATATAAATGGTGGCATGTCTATTCCTCACTGCCAGCTCCGAAGCAGGTGACTCAGAAAGGCATCAAGACATGACTGAATGAATTGAACCGAGCAGGATGAAAGATTGGGGGTAAAGAGAGATAACAATGGAAGTCCCAGACACAAGCAAAGATGTGCAGACAATTGCTGGGACATGACTCAGCTCTTAGCATACAGAGACTTAATGTCTAGCTGAGGATAGCAAGGAGGGCAGCCATGGAACACGGACAGAGCAGAGGAGAAGAGGAGGGCAGGAAGGCTTGGGTTCTGAGCAGTCAATTGTGAGTGGTGCTAGCTCTGAGCAGGTTATACAAGAGAGCAGGCTGAGCAAGTCATGGGGAGCAAGCTAGTAGGCAGCGCCTCTCTATGGCTTCTGCATCCTTTTCTGCCTCTAGGTTCCTGTCTTGAATTCTTGCTCTGGATTCTCTCAGTGACAGACTGTAAGCTGGAAGATGAAATAAACATTTCTATCTCAAGTTGCTTTTAGTCATGGTATTTATCACAGTATTAGAAACTAAACGAGGACAGGGCTAAAATAACTCAATCAGGAAACTTCACCCCACTCCCAGGTCCTCTACTATCTTCATATGTGGTTGTAACCAAGCAGAAGCTTGCAAGGACCTGGGCTGTATCACAGCATATCTGTTTTATTAGCAATTGTAGTCTTGAAGAAGTTAGTCCCATGATACGCATGTTTTCTCATCCTTACATGAGTTAGTGCTAACATGTTGCAAGGACATTGTGAGTAGTAAGAGAAGTAACCCTCTTTGGCACAGATAGCTAACACGTTCTATGAGCTGGTCATTGTGTTAAGTGCCTTGTGAGAATTAGTTTTAGCCTCCAAAACAAGTTGTAAGTATGCACTCATGATTTGAATTTACAGATGGGGACGCTGAGGTCCAGAGACAACAGACAGTTGGCAGCTGAGTGCAACAGAGGCAGGAGGCAAACCCAGGGTACTAGCTCTGTCACCCACGTTTTTAACCACTGGTCACACTGCCTCCCACTATTTCTTTTTTTCCTCTTCATTTGTTTCACATGTCAATCCCAGCTCCCTCTCCCTCCCCTCCTCCCCATCCCTCCCGACCAGGCCCCTCAACCCCCCACCCAATCTTCACTCTGATCCCTAGGAAGAGTGAGGCCCTCCATGGTGTATCTCCAGAGTCTGTCATGTCATCCAGGGTAGGGTCTAGGCCCTCCTTCAAGAGTCCTGGCTGAGAGAGCCTCCCGTATTGTGGCATGGGCACTCAATACTACCCAAGGCCCCATAGATTACCTGGGTTTCCTAACTGACATCCACATTCAGGTGCCTTCCATTATTTCATGTCCTACCAAATAAGCACTCTGTGCTGCATTAACAGATTTCCACTCCTCTCATTAGTGGGTGACACTATCTGTGTGCATCTGTAGTTTTGTTTCTACTGACTGTTCTAGCTTCATTTTCACCTGTAAATTTCTTATTCTTAGATTTTCTTTTTAGTTTTGAGTCCATAACTTACTTACAACATATATCCCTTTCCTCACCTCCCTCCAAACCTTGCCATATACCCCATCCCACTCCTCTTCCAATTCATGCTCTATTTTTTCATTAATTGTTATTGCATACATATATACACATGTATAAACATATATTCCTAAATATAACCTATTGAGTCTATATAATGTTATTTGGATGTATGTTTTCAGGGCTGATGTTTGGCACTGTATGACCAATTTGCTTCTAGGGAGGACCACCCTTCCTACTCCCAGCTTTACAATTGCCTGTAGTTCTTTGTGTAAGGTTGAGGTATCTTGGGCTTCTTCCCATCCAATTTGATATGCTCATTGGTGTCGTCCTTGTTCAGTTCATGTTTGGGTGGTCATGTTGGTGAGACCTTATGAGTGTACCTTCTGATGTTACTAGGAGACAAAATCTTACAGCAAATTCTTTGACCCTCTGGCTCTTATATCTTTTCACCTCCTGTCCTACAACATTCCCTGAACCTTAGGTGTGGGAGTGTTTTGTAGCTGTATTCCCTGGGACTGGACTCCACAATTCTGTATTTTGGTTGTGATTTTCCGTAGTGGTCTCCATATGATTCAAAGAGAAGTTTCCTTGAAGATTATACTCTGTGGGGGCAAGGGCAGATGGTTATAAATAGTTAATATTATACTGGTTAATTTGTGGTTGTCGATTACCTTCTAATAATCATGAGTTTGCTAGCATTGAGTAGTTAGCTAGGTTTACAATACCAGGAATGACATCTCTGTTGTTGAATGGGTCTTAAGTCCAATTAGAGAGCTGTTGGTTTGTTATTAAGCTATTCATGCCCCTGCTTCACCCTTAGGGTTATGCTGGTTGTTGATGTGGTGCCTAGGCATCATAGCTGGGTAGGTCTGTTGTTTGTCTCCCTCCCTCTGGTACTGTAAAAGCTAGTCCCCAGTTAAGGGGCATTCAGGTCACTTCTAGCTGAGGGTGTCTCTGGGTTCTGTTTCTAAAATGCATGGTGTCTTCAATGACAAAGACTTACCTTCCACCTCTGGGGGGTAATGAAGGGCAACAGCAACAGGCTGTATGTTTGGAGAGTCTCTTAGACAACCCCTACTAACAACTCAAAGGAGGGGTTCTCATGTCTGGGTTTTTGATAGGTGGTCTTTGGCTCTTGGAGGGAGTATCATTAGTCCAGATGAGAGGAGTTTGTTAAAACTTTATCTGTATAGTTACAAGACTGAATTATGTGTATTGTGGAGTTTTTTGAAGGTGAATAGTTAATAGTATGATTCCTTGTGGCTTTTTCAGACATCCATATTGTTATTATCAGCCTCCATCCTTCTCTACTTACCTCTGTCCCTGTTCCATTAGGAGGCCCCTTCATTTCCATCAGATCACTTGTATCCTGCTATTTCCTTTTACCCTCTTTACACATTCTTCTGCTTTTACCTCCATTCCCCTCCCTACAGACTCCCTTCTTTTCCCATTTCCCATTTCCTCTCTTTTGTTCCCTAAATCCCTATCCTGACAATGGTCCCATTTCACTTTCCTGGTATTTCTAGTTACTTCAGGCCATGTACTCACATTTGAAGATCTGGAGCTAGGAGCCTCCAATGAAAAAGAACAGGTAACATTCGTCTTTCTGGTTCAATATGATCTTTTCTGGTTCCATCCACTTACCTGGGAAGTTCATGATTTCACTTTTCTTTACAGCCAAATAGTATTCTACAGTGCACTGTCCATTTGTTGGTTTAGGGCATTTAGGTTGTTTCTATTTCCTAGATATTGTAAAGAGAGCAACAATGAACACAGCTAAACAAGTGTCTGTGGAGTATGATTCTGAGTCCTTTGGGCACGTGTTTAGGAGTGGAATAGGTGGGTCATATGGTAGATTTATTTTTAGTTGTTTTCTGAGAATTCACCACTCTGATTTCCATAGCGGCTGCACAGTTTGTAATCCCACCATCAGTATGTAAAGGTTTCCTTTATGCCCACATCTCCTCCAGCATTTGCTGTCAGTTGTTCCATTGATCTTTACCCTTGTGACTGGGGTAAGATAAAAGTCTCAAAGTTGTTTTGAGTTGCATTTCCCGAATATTTTTTGAGATATTTCTTAGCCATTTACATCTTCCACACCCCCTTTTCTGGAATGGGTCTCCCCCGCCCCTCTTCTTGACCTTTTCTGTTGTTGTTGTTGAGCTCTTTATATATTCTGGATATTGACCCTCTGTCACATGTGTAACTGGGAATGGTTCTCTCCTATTTTGTTGGCTTCCTCTTTACTCAGTTGATTATTTCTTTAGCTGTGCAGATATCTTTTGGTTTCATTAAGCTGACTTGTTGTCAGATGTTGACCTTAATTATTGGGCAAATGAGTCCTATTCAAGAAATCCTTTCCTATACCAATACCACGTAGAGTACTGGCCATGCTTTCTTCTAGCCATTTCAGTCTCAGGTTTTGTGCAAGTTTTTGTGCAAGATGACAGATACGGGTCTAATTTCATCCCACTGCAAGTGGACAACCAGTTTTCCTAGTGCCATTTGTTGACGATCTTTTCTTTAGTGTATATATTTTTAATGTCCTTGTCAAATATTAAGTGGCTGAAGTACTGCCCTACTTGTCTGTTTTTGTGCCAATACCATCTTGTTTTTATTACTGTGTCTCAGTAATATATCTTAAGATCTGGTAATCCCTCCAGCATTGTGAACCTAATTGACCCAGGTGAG